GGTGGGGTTAGGAGGAGATACTCTATATTAGAGGAGGTAAAGGAGATCTCACGGTGGGGTTAGGAGGAGATACTCTATATTAGAGGAGGTAAAGGAGATCTCACGGTGGGGTTAGGAGGAGATATTCTATATTAGAGGAGGTAAAGGAGATCTCACGGTGGGGTTAGGAGGAGATACTCTATATTAGAGGAGGTAAAGGAGATCACACGGTGGGGTTAGGAGGAGATACTGTATATTAGAGGAGGTAAAGGAGATCATACGGTGGGGTTAGGAGGAGATACTGTATATTAGAGGAGGTAAAGGAGATCACACGGTGGGGTTAGGAGGAGATACTCTATATTAGAGGAGGTAAAGGAGATCATACGGTGGGGTTAGGAGGAGATACTCTATATTAGAGGAGGTAAAGGAGATCATACGGTGGGGTTAGGAGGAGATACTCTATATTAGAGGAGGTAAAGGAGATCATACGGTGGGGTTAGGAGGAGATACTCTATATTAGAGGTGGTAAAGGAGATCTCACAGTGGGGTTAGGAGGAGATACTGTATATTAGAGGAGGTAAAGGAGATCTCACGGTGGGGTTAGGAGGAGATACTCTATATTAGAGGAGGTAAAGGAGATCTCACGGTGCGGTTAGGAGGAGATACTCTATGTTAGAGAAGGTAAAGGAGATCTCACGGTGGGGTTAGGAGGAGATACTGTATGTTAGAGAAGGTAAAGGAGATCTCACGGTGGGGTTAGGAGGAGATACTCTATATTAGAGGAGGTAAAGGAGATCTCACGGTGGGGTTAGGAGGAGATACTCTATATTAGAGGAGGTAAAGGAGATCTCACGGTGGGGTTAGGAAGAGATACTCTATATTAGAGGAGGTAAAGGAGATCTCACGGTGCGGTTAGGAGGAGATACTCTATATTAGAGGAGGTAAAGGAGATCTCACGGTGGGGTTAGGAGGGGGATACTCTATATTAGAGGAGGTAAAGGAGATCTCACGGTGGGGTTAGGAGGGGGATACTCTATATAAGAGGAGGTAAAGGAGATCTCACGGTGCGGTTAGGAGGAGATACTCTATGTTAGAGAAGGTAAAGGAGATCACACGGTGCGGTTAGGACGGGGATATGCTATGTTAGAGGAGGTAAAGGAGATCACACGGTGGGGTTAGGAGGAGATACTCTATATTAGAGGAGGTAAAGGAGATCTCACGGTGGGGTTAGGAGGAGATACTCTATATTAGAGGAGGTAAAGGAGATCTCACGGTGGGGTTAGGAGGGGGATACTCTATATAAGAGGAGGTAAAGGAGATCTCACAGTGAGGTTAGGAGGAGATACTTGTTACAAAAGACTGGAAATCACTATGTTGCTGTTTTAACTCACCGAGTGATACTGTTTGCCACTGCATAAGTTAAGCAGAAAACCACACGAATGGATTATGCGAACCCTTATCAAGGCTCCATTCGTGGTACGAACGGGGGGACCCCCACAAACTGGCGTGTGCCGCCACTTAACCCCGTCACCCCACAAACTACCGAACGGTCGACCACCCGGCCCGGAGTGTGGCAGCCATTAACCACCCAGGTGCCTGCGGTTTGCGGTTAACCACAACGTAATTGGTAGGCCTGGGGGCATCGACGTTCGCACCCAAAGTACCGAAGGGAAAATACCGAACTATCAACCGAACGACGACCCCCTACAGCGGGTCGTGTGACGCTCGTTAACTTGTGGTTTTTGCGGTTAACCGCAGGTCAAGTACCCTGCTCCCAGGTGGTCCTCATTCCCTTACCGAACGAGCCCACTACCAGCCAGACAGCGGGACTTCACATGAACTGATACCGAGTTTAGTTCCACGAGTTAGACACGAAGTCCCGCTTCTCGCTAAAACAGCAGAAAACATGGCCGCCAACAAAGACTAATAATCCCAAAATGCCGAACGGACTTCATACGGCAGAAACAGTACATTCTGTTCGTGGGATTAGAGCGCCATTCGCATGTTTTATTTACACGAACCTGAGCCTTCAGATGAATGGTAGAATGCGGGGTTTGTCTTTATTAATGTAAAAGTTATGGATTTTTATGCAGTTTTCTGGGACGTAATAAAACGTGGTCTTTGGTGCGCTTGGAGATAATTAGATTGTATAACCGTTGGCCTCATTATCTCCAAGCTGGGCGGGTACTAATTCAAAGGATACACTGTATTGTGATTGGATATGTGTCTGTACTGTACCTGTATTCCATCAGGTCCACAGGAGGCTGTCCTTGGACCTGAGGAATCACATAAATTGCCATGCTATGTGCCAGTAAAACCAGTTCGTTTTGACCCTCAACTTGCAGCCTCGACTTTGTAGGGATCCGGGATATTGATGCTTATATCGTGCTTGGGGATATTCTACATTTGCAGTTTACTACCGACAGACCTCCGTTCGACTCTCTGCAGCGGGAACCAGGACATCCAAGCGATCAACCCTCCTGCTAGACCGGGGGCAATCGTAACAATTGGTGGCAGCGGTGGGATCATCCTGGGATTCCTGAAAGAGATATATAGGACGGATGGAGAGTAACTACGATAGGCTGAAGCGTACCACGTTAAAGGATATACTCGAGAGCCGTGGAGGGAACGCAAGTAACCGGCCGAGGAGAGAATTGATTGCCGACCTGAACGAGTTGGATCAAAGCTTCACCATGGCAGAACCGACGGCAGCATGCAGCGATGAGAAGACCAGGCTTGTCCGAGAAAGGCTGCCTCTGTACGGACCGAACCCATCCGTGGAGCTGATACAGCAACTAATGGCAGAAGCCGAGGCGGACGTACAGCGGACTAGAGCCCACGAGCTGAGCATGAAGACCGCTGATAGCCACAGCGGCCCCCTAGAAACTACCGAACAGCCAAAGATCCCGTTCGCGGCATTCAAGCCGTTCGCGGAGAATGAGATGGGGATAGACTAATTTTTGGCCGATTTTGAAAGACAATGTGCCCTGCATCAGATCCCCGTCGCCGCGTGGCCACGTATCCTGGCAGGAAAATTAACCGGGCGGGCCATGGAAGCCTTCCGAACCCTCAGCGCAGAAGAGGTAGCCCAATACACCACAGTAAAAGAAACGCTGCTGAAACGGTACGCTGTGACCCCAGACACCTACCGAAGGCAGTTCCGCAGCACGAAGAAAAAAGCGAATGACACACATGCCGAATGGGCACACCGTATGCGGAGAGCTGCTACCCATTGGATTACCGGGGGTGTCGGGCCGTCACGGCCGCGGAAATATTGGAACTTTTCTTATTAGAACATTTTTATGAGGGTCTGGAACAAAAAGACCGGGAGTGGTTGAAAGACCGGCGTCCCGCTAACCTACACGAAGCAGCCCGGTTGGCAGACGAACACCGGGATGCGCAAGTACAGGAGTTCAACAATGCCCGAACGGTAACTCGCCCCGAACCAAGAGAGGGATACCGATCAACTCCACGAACGGAGTTTCGCAACCCTGTACCCACAGGTCCTACAAGGTACCCGGGACCACCCAGCCACTATCCTCAGGAACACTCCCGACCAACATGTTATAAGTGCAAGCAACCGGGGCACCTGATAGCGAGTTGCCCCCTCAACAACAATTACCCCACACGGAACTATAATTCCGCTCCAACGGGAAACAACCGTCCAGCTCGAGCGTTTTGCCTGGAACAAGACAGTCCTTTAGAAGAATACCTGGGACCCCTACATGAAGCTAATCCTGTGTATGCCGCCAGTGACAATAGACAACACCACCGGCAAGAGGTGCTGCTAGAGGGTCGTCCTACACAAGGGTTAAGAGATACCGGAGCCACGATCACCTTGGTACAAAGCCGGTTAGTCCCTGACTACAAACGCTCTTCTGACACAGTGGCTGTCCGGGTGGCTGGAGGGGACATATATAAACTACCCACAGCAAAGGTACACTTGGATTGGGGTGCGGGAAAAGGACTTGTGAGGGTGGGAATTATGGATAATTTGCCAGCCGAAGTTTTGCTGGGAAATGACCTGGGACCTATGACTTCAGCTTATGCCCCTTCCTACAACGCTGAGGCACATCCGGTGACGACCCGGTCACAAGCTGGACGAGCACGAGACCCTTCACCAGTGCGGGAGACTCAGGTAAGACTTAACCCGACTGTGACCCCCCCTCCTACCCCGTTGCCCTGGGACACTCCTGCAGCCTTCGAGGCTGAGACCAAAACTGATCCGACGCTCCAAAAATATAGAGAAAGGGCTGATACAGGGACTGGGATCAGACCAGGAGACGTTTGCATGGGAACAGGGTCGACTGTACCGACACACAGAGAAGAAGGGCCACCGGAGGAGACAGTTAGTAATACCCCACAAGTATAGGCGAGATATCCTCCGGGTGGGTCATGATATTCCCTTAGCCGGGCACTTGGCAGTAACCCGTACCCTGCACCGTATTACCCATACTTTGTTCTGGCCAGGAGTACATGCAGATGTGAGGTCCTATTGTAATACGTGCGAGGTGTGCCAACGGGTAGGCAAACGAGGAGACCACCCCAAGGCACACCTCGTTAACATGCCCATTATCGACGAGCCATTTAGCCGGGTAGCCATTGACTTAGTTGGGCCCCTGGCCACCCCTAGTCCCTCGGGCAAGAGATACATTCTTACCATAGTGGACTATGCTACCCGCTACCCAGAAGCTGTGGCCTTATCTAATATCCAGGCAGACACAGTGGCTAATGCCTTAGTGCAGGTATTCTCTCGGGTAGGATTCCCTAGGGAGATCCTATCCGACAGGGGATCGCAGTTCACGGCAGAGCTGACCCAGCAGCTCTGGCACGTTTGCAAAATTAAATCCCTGCTTAGCTCCCCGTACCACCCCCAGACCAATGGGTTATGTGAGCGGTTCAACGGAACCCTCAAACAGATGTTAAAAACCTTTACCCAGGAGTATAGGGACTGGGAGCGTTTCCTGCCGCACCTCCTGTTCGCTTACCGGGAAGTGCCCCAGGAAACCACCGGGTTCTCTCCCTTTGAGCTGTTATACGGTCGCAAGGTACGGGGCCCCCTGAACCTGATCCGTGAGCACTGGGAGGGAGAGACCGAGAACGCCGGGGTCCCCATCGTGCCGTACGTACTGGAGCTCCGGGACCGAATGGAGCAATTGGCTAAGTCAGTTCAGGCCAACCTCCAGGCGGCTCAGGGGCGACAGAAAGTCTGGTACGACCGGGGGGCACGGCGAAGAAGCTTCTGTCTCGGGCAGAAAGTTATGGTACTAAAACCAGTTAAGACGGACAAGCTGCAAGCAGCCTGGCAGGGTCCCTATCAGATAGTGGAAAAGAGAGGGGACACCACTTACGTAATTGCCAGCTGTCACGATGAAAACTTAAGAAAGATGTTTCACGTGAACATGCTGAAGGAGTACTTGCAGAGACCCGAGGAAGTGTCAGCCATATGTAGCCCTGCGCACGAGGACGCAGATGGTTTACCCATACCCGACTTATTAACCCCTAAATCCCCGGTTGAAATAGTGAGCCAAGTACAGATTGGGGACAGACTCAGCCCAGTTGAGAGGGAGCAGCTACACAAACTGCTCCGGGAGAAACAAGCCATGTTCTTCCAAGAACCAGGGTACACGGAGCTGACCACTCACCAAGTAGATACCCCCGGCCAAAACCCTTTGAGACAAGCTCCCTACCGAATTCCGGAGGCAGTAAGGACAGGCATGAAAAAGGAAATAGATGAGATGCTGCGATTAGGGGTCATTGAAGCTTCCGATAGCCCCTGGGCATCCCCGGTGGTCCTGGTCCCCAAAAAGGACGGCACCACCAGATTCTGTGTGGACTACCGGAAACTCAATGACAAAACTGTCACCGATGCATACCCCATGCCCAGGGTGGATGAGCTACTAGATCGCATAGCCAAGGGGAACTACCTAACTACCATTGACCTCTGTAAGGGTTACTGGCAAATCCCCCTGGCCAGGGAGGCTGTCCCCAAGTCGGCCTTCGTCACCCCGTTCGGTTTGTACCACTTTAAGGTCATGCCGTTCGGGATGAAGAATGCCCCCGCCACATTCCAACGCTTGGTGGACAGACTCCTTGATGGCTTCCAGGAGTTTGCCTGCGCATACCTGGACGACATAGCGATTCATAGCGAGACCTGGGAGGAACACTTAGCTCATGTGGGAATAGTTCTGGACCAGATCCGAGCCGCCGGCCTAACTCTAAAGCCAGAGAAGTGTCACTTTGGGATGGCGAAGGTTCAGTACCTGGGTCACCGGGTGGGCTGTGGGAAGCAACGACCGGAGCCAGCCAAAATAGAAGCGGTCGCCAACTGGCCCACTCCCCACACTAAGACCCAAGTACTAGCTTTTCTGGGTACCGCTGGGTACTACAGAAAATTTGTACCGGAGTATAGCGCCATTGCCAAACCCCTGACCGACCTGACAAAGAAAAACCTTCCCCGACAGGTCCTGTGGTCTCCCCTCTGTGAAACGGCTTTCCAAGCCCTCAAAACTGCGTTGATTAATGCTCCTGTCTTGGCTGCCCCAGCCCCTAATCGACGTTTTATTGTCCATACAGACGCTTCCATGTTCGGGCTGGGAGCTGTCCTCAGCCAAGTAGGAGATGATGGGAAGGAACACCCGATTGCCTACATCAGTCGAAAACTCCTACCAAGCGAAGTTAGCTATGCAGCGGTAGAAAAGGAGTGTTTGGCTCTGGTGTGGGCACTAAAGAAGTTAACCCCCTATTTGTATGGACAAGAGTTCACTCTGGTTACAGACCATAACCCGCTGGTGTGGCTCAACCGGGTCGCTGGGGACAATGGCAGATTGTTACGCTGGAGCTTATCCCTGCAGCCCTTTAATTTCACAATCACCTACCGACCCGGGAAGCAGAACGGCAACGCCGACGGATTATCCCGGCAAACAGATCTCAGCCCAGCCTAACCCCACGAGTCTGGACAGCCTTAGTATGCCCCGAAAAGGGGTCAGACAGTGTCTGCCAGAGTGTTCCACAAAGAGGGAGCATTGTTACAAAAGACTGGAAATCACTATGTTGCTGTTTTAACTCACCGATTGATACTGTTTGCCACTGCATAAGTTAAGCAGAAAACCACACGAATGGATTATGCGAACCCTTATGAAGGCTCCATTCGTGGTACGAACGGGGGACCCCCCACAAACTGGCGTGTGCCGCCACTTAACCCCGTCACCCCACAAACTACCGAACGGTCGACCACCCGGCCCTCGGAGTGTGGCAGCCATTAACCACCCAGGTGTCTGCGGTTTGCGGTTAACCACAACATAATTGGTAGGCCTGGGGGCATCGACGTTCGCACCCAAAGTACCGAAGGGAAAACACCGAACTATCAATCGAACGACGACCCCATACAGCGGGTCGCGTGGCGCTCGTACCCTGCTCCCAGGTGGTCCTCATCCCCTTACCAAAAGAGCCCACTACCAGACAGACAGCGGGACTTCGCATGAACTGATACCGAGTTTAGTTCCACGAGTTAGACACGAAGTCCCGCTGCTCGCTAAACCAGCAGAAAACATGGCCGCCAACAAAGACTAATAATCCCAAAATGCCGAACGGACTTTATACGGCAGAAACAGTACATTCTGTTCGTGGGATTAGAGCGCCATTCGCATGTTTTATTTACACGAACGTGAGCCTTCAGATGAATGGTAGAATGCGGGGTTTGTCTTTATTAATGTAAAAGTTATGGATTTTTATGTAGTTTTCTGGGACGTAATAAAACGTGGTCTTTGGTGCGCTTGGAGATAATTAGATTGTATAACCGTTGGCCTCATTATCTCCAAGCTGGGCGGGTACTAATTCAAAGGATACACTGTATTGTGATTGGATATGTGTCTGTACTGTACCTGTATTCCATCAGGTCCACAGGAGGCTGTCCTTGGACCTGAGGAATCACATAAATTGCCATGCTATGTGCCAGTAAAACCAGTTCGTTTTGACCCTCAACTTGCAGCCTCGACTTTGTAGGGATCCGGGATATTGATGCTTATATCGTGCTTGGGGATATTCTACATTTGCAGTTTACTACCGACAGACCTCCGTTCGACTCTCTGCAGCGGGAACCAGGACATCCAAGCGATCAACCCTCCTGCTAGACCGGGGGCAATCGTAACAATACTCTATATTAGAGGAGGTAAAGGAGATCTCACAGTGGGGTTAGCAGGAGATACTCTATATTAGAGGAGGTAAAGGAGATCTCACGGTGGGGTTAGGAGGGGGATACTCTATATTAGAGGAGGTAAAGGAGATCTCACGGTGGGGTTAGGAGGGGGATACTCTATATTAGAGGAGGTAAAGGAGATCTCACAGTGGGGTTAGCAGGAGATACTCTATATTAGAGGAGGTAAAGGAGATCTCACGGTGGATACTCTATATTAGAGGAGGTAAAGGGTTAGGAGGGGCATACTATATATTAGAGGAGGTAAAGGAGATCTCACAGTGGGGTTAGGAGGAGATATTCTATATTAGAGGAGGTAAAGGAGATCTCACGGTGGATACTCTATATTAGAGGAGGTAAAGGAGATCTCACGGTGGGGTTAGGAGGAGATACTCTATATTAGAGGAGGTAAAGGAGATCTCACGGTGGGGTTAGGAGGGGGATACTCTATATTAGAGGAGGTAAAGGAGATCTCACGGTGGGGTTCAGAGGGGGATACTCTATATTAGAGGAGGTAAAGGAGATCTCACGGCGGGGTTAGGAGGGGGATACTCTATATT